GTTCTACTCCGAGGGAGATATCAGGTATCTCGGGCCTTCTTTGCGGCGAGTCGCTCCCGCGGCCGGCCGGCCCTCTCTGCAGCTTCGAAGAAGCTCCGAGCCACGCGCGCCTGCCGCGAGAGGACCCAGGCGGCGGTGGGCAGGCGCGGGTGAGAGCCTCCCGAGGTCCTGGGTGCCCAAGTCCTGCTCGGCGCAGAGATGAAGGGGCCCCAGGACACACGAATAAATACACACAAATAAAATAATTCCCCATATTTTCCCAAATTTCCTGGGTTTCTGCCTTCCCCCCCGCTTCCCACATTTTCCCATATTTTCTGGGGGATCGACGATTAATTGTGTCTGTGTGTTTTTTCCCCTCCTGAAAAGAGGCTGCTCGGGGAGTGGGGCTTCGAGGAGAGAGCGGTCTGGGTGGACCCAAAGGTCGGCGCGATGGGGATGGGAGGCGACACCGTTCTGGAGGTGCACGCCACGACGGGAGCGATGAACATCAACTATGGCGACGGCTGGGAGCGTTTTGTTTTGGCGCTGACCTGGAGCGGCGAGAGCTCGTGAAGACGCACTCCGACAAACTTGCGCGGGGCGGCAAGGGCAAGGGCAGCGGCAAAGGCGGCAAAGGCGGCGGCCGCAGCAAGGGACAGCGCCGGTCGAGGGGCACGGGGGATGTTTCCCCAGAATTCGATGCGAGTTTTACAGCTGATTTTGATTTTCACGTTTACGGTTGATCGGCTGGGGCTTTTGTTAAGGGAACTCTCGGATCTAACTTGGAACGTTGTTTGTTTCAGCGAGACCCGTGCGGTATCTGATGATATTGACCTCGACGGGGGTCATCGTCTTATAGCTGCAGCGGGGATCATCTGGATACGCAATGGTGGTTGCTTGCTTGCATGCTCGGCACGCGGCAAGTGTCACGGGTACTCGTTCTCGTTACGACCGGGTGTTGGCAATTGATGGTAAGATCTATGACGTTGCTTGCACGTTCCTCTCTGTAGACATGCCACTCGCGGGATACACGCACGACGACGTAATAGACTGCTATGCATTTTTTGCAGCAGGAAGTCGAATTTGCCAGGAAGCGATGCCGGAAACTTTGCATAGCTGGTGATTTCAACACCCAGATTGAAATCGGCGAACGAGGGCGCCTACTGCAAGCGTTTCGTTTTGAAAACGGCTTTGAAACCGGGCACGTTTGCCATGCGCACGAGTCGTGGACTTTCCGGAGCTTGCTCGGTGCCACGAGGGTTCTGGATTGTATGTTGTTTGATGCTTCTTTTCATTGTCAGTCTTGTTGCCCGAGTGACTCTCTAGATATGGGGTCTGACCATCGTACGTTGCATGGGATCGTTCATTTCAACCTAGGTGCTCGACGACGGAATGGGCGCCAGCACGACGCGGTTCGGTGAAAGCCGTCTGTGGACGTCGAGGGCCGCGACTGGGTCTATGAGAGCATTGTGCAAGAATCGTTGTCTGAGTCTCTCTCGCCCTCCCTCCCCCCCTCCCTCTTTGACCTGGAGAGTCACGTTGTTGCATCAGCCATGCAGGCATCGAGTCAGAGAGACGATGCTCGTCCACATGCGAATCCATGGGACGCACGTGAACTACGAGATTTGCGCCGGAAACGACGAAGCACGCGTGACCCACAAGAACGGTCTAGACTGTCGAAGCTCATTTTCAGAGGGCACCGTAAACGCATGTGGAAATATTGTGATGCGCGTGCTGCTTCGCAGTTGTCGAAATTTGAAGGCATCAAACATTTACCTCGGGTGCACAAGTTCCCGTCGCAGCAGAGCAAGCGTTGCACTGTAGACAGTAATGCGTTTAAGGCTTCGCTCGAGCAAGTATTTTCCGCGGATTGCAACGCTGCCAGGGATGGCTGGGCGGCGGCATGCTGCAATAGAGGCCCGTATAACATCACACCGTTTTGCATGCAGAAATTGCGACAAGTGTTTGAGCATATGAAGTGCGGCAAATGCACAGATAAACGCGGCATCACCGTTGAGATGTTCGCATGCGGTGGTAATGCTCTGCACAGACGCCTTTTGACGTGTTTGAATTCTTTGCTCAACACAGGCCACATCGATCCCACTTGGCAGGAAACGCGTTTGATCATGCCGCCGAAGACTGGCAGCAGACATGATGTAAAGAACTGGCGACCCATAGCAATTTTACGCATCACATACAAACTAATTGCTCGCCAAGTTTTTGCGCGATTGCAACCCGATCTAGAAAAAAACAGACGCACGACCAGGTCGGGTTTCGACTGGGCCGCTCCGTAGACAGCGCTTTTGTCGTTTTGGAGGATGTCTGCACGAAAGCTTGGGAGTGGCAGCTCCCACTGTGGATCGCTAGCGTTGACCTTACTAAAGCTTTCGACCGGCTTGAGCACCACGTGCTTTTCCAAGCATTGTCGGAGCAGGGAGTTCACGCTGAGTACGTGCGGCTTTTGTCAGACATTTACAGCTCCCAATGGGGGAGCGTCAATGGCAGCACAGCGTTTGACATTACCTGTGGCGTCAAGCAGGGGGACGGTCTGTCAGCGCTGCTCTTCAACGCTGGTTTAGAGCATGCAATTCGGAAGTTCAGAGTACGCGCTCAGCAAGCCGGCTTAGATGTTGGAGGCGTCGATTTGCACAGCAACATGCGGTACGCTGATGACATTTTACTTTATGCGCGTTCCGCCGCAGAGGTTGTTCGAATGCTGGAAATTATTTCGGAAGAATTATCAGCGTGCGGCCTCCCACTCAATGCGGACAAGACGCGGATTTTTACGAACGACGTTGCCGCTTCCAACGTTGACGAGTCTCTCGTTTTGCAGCTTGCTGGCTGCCAGCTGCCTGTCATGACGTCCCAGGTGTTCCAAATGTATCTCGGCAAGCGAATCGGAGGCGACTTGCGATGCAGATTCGGATGCAATGTAAATGATCGCATGGAGTGCGCATGGGGGAAACTTCACTCCCACAGAGCGGTGCTTCTGAATAAATCTAGAACTCTGCGTCTTCGTTTGAAGCTTGTCGACGCTGTGGTCACGCCCACCGCTGTCTATGGTCTCTCGACGACCGCCACGACAGCACAGCATAGGTCAACGAGGGTATCAACTCGTGCAAAAATGCTCCGTCGGATAGTCGGTTTCAACAAGCTTCCCGGCGAGAGCTAGGCAGAAGCGGGGCAACGGTGCAAGCGAAGAGTGCGTGGTGCTATGTTAATAATCCATGTGCTCGACTGGCTCGTCGTGATGGACCGGTCAACGAGGCGCCTCGTAGCACGACTCGTCACAAGCGATTCGCAAAGAATGGCCCAAGCAAAGTTTACGCCGGCGCCCTGCCGGCCCACGACGTCGCGGTCGGCCACGGCGTCGATGGACAGATCATGTAGAGGCGTTTCTGCAGCACGAGTGCGGCACGAGTCTCACTGATGTTGTCAACAGCCAGCAGCGCCTCCCCTGGCAGCAGCTGGAGGATTCGTGTCTGAACCACACGTGGTGGTACACTTGATGAGCGATTTGTGCTTCACCCACTTGCACCAGCCAATCACCTTGATGCGCGCTCCATCGCTGTACCCTGCGAAATGCTTAAGAAATCATGGGTTAAGAAATTCATAGTCTCAGAATTTGATTACAAACCTAGAATTTCTATTGAAATCTTAGGATTCACGTTGAAACATTAAGAATAATCGAGACCCTGGCCGAAAATGTCAGTTTTCTTAAGCATCGCCGAGGGTGTATTGCCTCATGCCCTCCGTCTCCGCTCGCGGAGCGAGGGGCCCCCGCAGGGCCCCTCGACCGGACTTGCCTTGACCGCCGCGTAAAGGCCCCCGCACCGAGATGTTGGGCATTGCGCACAGTGCGCGCGCACAGACGTGCTGCACACAACCAATGCATCGAGCGCCGCCAGCTTTGTCCTCTGTCCAGGACGGGGGAGGAAGAGGAGGAGGAGGAGGAGGCGGCGGAGGAGGAGGAGGCGGCGGACGAGGAGGAGGAGGAGGCGGAGGAGGAGGATGACAAGACAGAAAACCATGGAGATGCACATCCTGCCCAAGAACAGAAAGCCATGCAACACCGCCGGCAGTGGCCAGGTCCGTCCAGGGCCCGGGACCGGCGCCTGGGACCCCGCAGCCTGGGCCAGCGGGGTGGACACCACACGAGGGCTGGTGGTGGTGCATAGTTGCCTCCTTCTGACAGAATGACCCCCGAACCTACACCCTGCGAAATGCTTAAGAAATCATGGGTTAAGAAATTCATAGTCTCAGAACTTGAATAAAGACCCAACATTTCGATTAAAATCTTAGGATTTACATTGAAACGTTAAGAATAATCGAGACTCTGCCCGAAAACTTAAGTTTTCTTAAGCATCGCCTAAGGTGTAGGAGATAACCTGACAGCGGCGTCCGGAGACAATTGTTGGTCAGCGGCCGCGGGGCGACGCAGCGCGGCGGTCGGGCGCCCTCTGGGTCACGCAGGCGAGCACAGAGTGAGCGCAGCAAACCAGCACCCCGATCCTGGGGTCAAACCCAGGAGCCGAGCCGAGCCGAGCCGAGCTGGCATGCCCGAGCGTGGCAGACGACGGGTCCTTCATCATCTGTGACTCGCGCCAGCAGATCAAGACACGTGGGCTATCCATTCTGGGCTCAACGTACCTTCGCACGGTGTAGCGGCGCACCGATGTTCAAACAGAACTCTCTGGCCCAACTCAAGATCTCCAAAATTCGTCCAAAAGGACTCTCCCAGGGAGGGGGGCAAACAGTGACTCAACACAATCCGGGGTGTGTTCTGATATTGCAGCAACGCGTTCTGGCGCTGGAACGTTGTGAGCGGCGCTGGGCGCGCGTCCGCGGAACCCCTCCTATGTGTATGGCCCCCTGCGGTGTATGCGATGACGACTGTTCATCACCACCCAGCGGGACATCTCATCGAGAGAGGAGTCTCGATCAGTCCGCGACTTAGAACTATCACATATACTCTGGAAGCTGTGACCGAAGCAAACAAACAAATCATGGTGTGCGGGCGCCGTCTCGCAGATCAGGACGTCAGCTCTCATAGACAACCATCCCACGAATGTCTGAGGCTTGATGCGCACGTAGCGCGCATCCCTTCCTGCCGAAAACATCGCATCCACCCGAGTGTCCATGTCGTTGTTCCCTTCGAACACGGTGTCGACGTCTTCCCAGGACTCGCCATCCAGCGAAGTAGCCACTACGTAACTGCTCACCCATTGCGCTACACCATGTCGACCTTGGGTCACAACGCCCATGACCACCAATAAACCTCCCAAATCCATCTGCATCCACTCGTTGCAACACTTGCGTGCAGCACTCCAAGCCTGCGGTGAGTCAAGCATGGATTGGGCATGGCCAGTCCCGGGCGCATCATTGATAAAGACGCTACTGTAACTTCGCTCGGCCTCCAACACATTGAGAATCGTCGTCTCGCAGACCTGCACTGACAGAAGAACACAATGATAATGACAACGATCCGCCACCCCACGCTGGGCAGCGGACGAGCGTGTATCGAGCACACTGCTCGTTCCAGCAGTCTCGCCTCTTACGGGGCAAGTATTCGGGCCCCAAGCGTGCCGATGCCCCGCAGAATTGCCGATGGTCGCGAAGCCCCCTGGGGATCTGTAAGTTCAAATTCGAGCGAGATGCGCGACGCGCGGAATCTTCGCGCCCTCGTGCCGCCATCTGGAGGCTCTGGAGGAGGACAGCCCAACGGCCCTGGCCGTGACGCGCAAAGCGCGGTTGTACCTTCGCGCCCCCGAGATGGGCTCTCCACCTTTGTCCACCTGCTGCTTGTGTTTGGGGGGGTTACCCAGCTGGGCGGGAGGGGGTGTTGGCGGCAAGAGCCGAAACAAATGCTGGCGGGCAAATGGATTCGTGCATCCGTTCATGGGTGAGCTGAAGCATAGCGCTTCCCAACTTGCCCGACCTTTGTCTGGTCTCACACAGACTTGGAAATCGCCACAATAACTAAAACAAATTCAAGACATTGTGACAAGCCCCATCTGCCATAGCCACGTTGCGTGGAAATCGCAAGGCGTTGGTTTCGGCCTCCGTATCTAGAACAATTGGAAGAGACGCAACACAACATACTTCCAAAAGTTCCACTCGAAATTCGGGTTCAAGCCTCCCGCGGGAAGACACCGAGAGTGCTCGGGCCAATTGCGCCCCACTGTTGATGGGGGTCGGACCTAGGGCGGGGTGCTCCGGTGGGCGTGGGGAGAGGGCGCAACTCGGGTGTTTAAGTTACGCGGTCTCGGACCGGTGCTAATGCTGGCGTCGGTGGGGCTGGTGTCGGTGATGGCGTCGGCGCCGGCATCGGCGCTGGTGTCGGTGCTGGCGTTGGCGGCGCCTGCGTCGGTACTGGCGTCGGCGCCGACATGGAGCACCCGGCCTCCGCTGCGGCCTTGCTGGTGTCCGACACGCTGACCTTTAGGGAAACGAAAAATGGCATAGATACGATATTTATGTCACTCTTCATTACTATAATTTATTTATGAACATATAATTTATATTTTTGATATTTTAAATATCAAAACTCGGAGGTCCGCGCGGAGCGCGCCAGGGGCGGCGCTGAAGGCGCCGCCAGGGGGGCCCAGCGCGGATCCGAGAAATCCGCGCGGACTTCAGAGTTCTATGTTTCGGGAATTCTTCGTCCCCCTAACCTTGGCGTAGGTCGCGGTGTCGATGCTGCAGACGTGGATCCACAGAGTGGCGGCGCCTATCTCCAGGGTCTCGCCCCCCGCCAGGGTGCTCCACAGCTCGGTCAGCTGGTTGACGTCGGACTGAAAGTGCACGTGGACACGATCGACCAAACTCAGCAGACTGGCGGGGAGCAAGGGGAGGATGAGAAGGAGCTGGAGGAGTGCTTCGAACCTTCCAACGTAGGGATCTACGTAGGGACCTCTTCAGAGGAGAATGTCTGGAGGGAACGAGTTCTCGGCCATGAGTAAGGTTCGTACGGCTCTCGAACTCAGGACCACTGATTTCTAGCAGGGGCTCTTGTGGAGAAGAATGACAGGGAGTGTGGGGAAGGGGAGGCGAGGCGAGACGAGGCGAGCGCGCGAGTTCGGCCCGGCGGGACCGGCCCTCATAGTGATAGGGCGGCGCGGGGGGGCCGGAGCCCTCAGGAGACGTGTTGGGGGCAGGAGTCGGAGCCGGAGCCGGAGTCGGAGAGATGGACATCGGAATAGGAGACAACGACCATGGGAAAAGGGGAGTCTGGGGAAGGGGAGGAAGGGGAGGAAGATGAGCAAGACGAGCCTGCCAGTGAACCTGTCGTGGAGCCCGATCCACGGCGTGTACACGTCCTCGACGCCGTAGAAGCTCGGCGTGTCGGACACGCGGAAGGAGAGGTAGAGAGCGCCCGCGCCCTGGACGGACCTCGAATTCCCCACGCACTCGTCGCACGGGATTCTCACCATCAGGAACCCGGGGCCCTGCGGTCCCTCACAGGGAACTCCCAGCTCTACGCCGACGCACCGCCCACGCCCCTCCTCTGGAGAAGGGGGAGGATGGAGGTGAGGAGACGAGGACTTGGTGTGTAGACTCTCCTGGCCTCAGACATGGAAGTCGATCCATCAATCTCTCTCTCTATATATATATATATATACATGTGCATATATGCACATACGTACGTACGTACGTACGTACCTACGTACATGCATGCATGCATGCATGCGTACGTACGTACGTACGTACGAACATAATCATATGCGTGCATACATACATACATACATACATACAGACAGGCAGACAGACAGACATCCATCCATTCATACACACATCCATACATCCATACATACATATATATATACAAATATGTATGCATCCATACATCCATACATCCATACATCCATACATACATGCATACGTACATACATGCATACATGCATACATGCATACATGCATACATGCATACATGCATACATGCATACGTGCATGCATACATACATGCATACATGCATACATGCATACATACATACATACATGCATACATATGTTCATTAATACAACCATGTATACATACACATCATACATACATACATACATGCATACATGCATACATGCATACGTTCATACGTGCATACCTGCATACATGCATGCATGCGCATACATGCATGCATGCACACATACATACATATATACATACATACATACCTACATACCTACCTACCTACCTACCTACCTACCTACCTACCTACCTACATACATACATACATACATACATGCATATATACATACGTACATACACACATACATACATACATACATACATACATACATACATACATACATACATACATACCTACCTACCTACCTACCTACCTACATGCATGCATGCATGCATACATACATACATACATACATACATATGTGCACATACACGAAGCCATGGCCAGGGAAGGGCATGGACAGTGCTCGCGTCACGTACAGATGGCAATTCTCGGCCTCGTTGAGGGCAGAGATGTTGACTGTCAGGTGATCGGACCCCCGGACGAACTCCTCGACCTCTCGGGACAGCCGCAAGTCCCCCGCCACGGGGAACGGTTCGGTGGCAGCCCATGGGATCCTCTCATGCCAACGTGCTGGATCTTGCGGACCAGCGCTCACCGGCACTGATTGACGCTAATCGACGCTAATCGACGCTAGATCGGCGCCAATCGATGCTGATTCGGCGCTCTCTCATCGATTACCAGACGCAGGCGCACGCCCATGCATTCGAAAGGTACAAAGAGTTCGAGGACAGGCGCGGCTCCCATGCGTTGCAATCGCAGAAGAAGGTGGAAGGGGAGGGAGGGAGGATGAGGGAGGAGGAGGAGGAGGAGGAAGAGCAGGAGGAGGAGGAGGAGGAGGAGGGCAGGAGGGAGGAGGAGGAGGAGGGAGGAGGAGGAGGAGGAGGAGGAGGAGGAGGAGCAGCAGAAGGAGGTGGAGGAGGGAGGATGAGGATGAGGGAGGAGGAGGAGGAGGAGGAGGAGGAGGAGGAGGAGCAGGAGCAGGAGCAGGAGCAGGATGAGGGGAGAGGGCCAGGGAGGCCGAGCATCACTGGCCCTGTCGCCTGTTGACTTCCCCGAGAGGGCCTCCGCCCCCGTGATCCACCCGAGCCTGTAGCGCGTGACCACGTTGCAGTCCGTGAACCGGGACCGCTGGTAGCCCATGATCGCATCGTCCGGGGATGGACAGACCCCCCTTCAGTAAAACGACGAACGAACAACACACACCCATACCCATAAGGGCGGTCGTTGGGAGGAGGACTCGCTATGGGTATAGGTGCGGGTTGTCGGACCCTGGGGAACGCTCCCGTTCGAGCGGGGACCCCCATCCGACAACACGTACCCACAGCCCTCTCCGACCCCCCTATGGGTATGGGTGTGTGTTGCTGGTTCGTCATAAAACGTGGTTTAGTGAAAACGACCTGAGGCCCAAACCTGGCGGGCGCAGGCCTGGAAAATAGCGGCCGCGGCGCCCTCTCGAGGACCGAAGACGGACAATTCACTCATCGACGTGTCACTGCTGGAGGCTCTGTCCACCCCCGAATCGTCTTGGTACTGGCTGAACGTCCCATATCGCGTATAGCCTCCTGCGTGGTTGAGACCAAAATTGTGCCCCAGCTCGTGGAAGAACGTCTGCCAGCTGATGGCCTGGCCAAAATACTGGGACCACCCGTCCCAATAGTAACCTGGGGCTGGGAAAGAAGCGCTCGCCGCGAAAGTGCTCCCAGGTGCGATGACCATCGTATGCTTGTACCTCCTTGAATAGAACTTCCTTAGGTATTCCAGATTAGCCCGCAGACTGACAATCCGCCATCGCGGCACGCAACGGTGAGCGTGAATCATAAAAAAATAAGAAACAATGCTAGTAATACATGGTTCGATTTGTTCAATACGGGGTCCCAGGAAACTGTCCATCATGAGTACTGTTTTGACGGTCCCTGGGCCTGTATATGGCCACAAGACGCCGAAGACGACGAAACCTCCGCACTGTCTCTTGTGCAGCACAGCCGTCGTGCTACGATAAGAATGCTGAAAAGGGAACGAATGGGGTTGTCTGGCCGCGGAGAGCCTCAGCCACGAACAGGCTGCCCGATTTAGATCCATGGGAGACTCTCGCTGCCTTCGCAGAGTCCAATGGGGCTCCCCAATCCTGATGAATTCCCTGGGAATCTGCAAGAATCCTCGAGGAATCTTCCAGATTTGCTGAGGGCTTCCCGGAGGGCCCCCAGGATTCCCGGAGAAATCCTTAGGATCCTGGGGGGGCTTCTTCAGGAGTGCTGGGGACTCCCCTCGGAGTCCTAGACAGGCTTCCATAGCATGTTTGGCCCCAGGCGCGATGGCAGACGCACGCGACAGCGAAAATGGATAAGATTGTTAAGACTGAAACCCCAAGACGCTGGGTCTTGAGATGACTCCATCTCGAAGAAGTCTACACTGGAGTGCTCCAGCCAAATCTGGTGCCAAGAATTGTGAAACAGAGAGTCGTTGAAGCCGGGGATATCCCAGAATAATCCCTGGACCTGCTCGAGCGTCCTGAGCGGCCTTTGGTCTCGGTATGTCGAAGCTGCCAATGAGGAGATTCATCCAGAAATGGGGTTTAGAGAACCAAACCAGCTCGCGTTTTCGCTTATGTTCGTTGACACGCCTCGCCGTCACCAGAGTTTAGCACATGGGGCGTCAGAAATCAGCTCCGTGAGCTGACTTTCTGATCTCCCCCAACTCCCTTCTCCCTCATCCCTCCCCGTGACTCTCCCACCTCCTCGTTCTCCTCCATCCGTCTTCCTCCCTCCTCCACCCTTCTCTTCCCTCCTCAGGCCCTCTCCCACTTCTGTTCCCCCTTTTTGGCAGCCCCGCATGTCAGGTAGACGACAAGGATGGGACCATAAGGCTCGTTGTTCATGTCCGGCGGCGCCATGATCCCAGTCACCCCAGTCACAGTGAACTCTCCCTCTTCCTCTCGGCGGCGAGCAGGGGAAGAACTGAGAAGGAGAAGGCCATCTCAGAAGCCTCGGAACTCCCCTGGCCTTGCGAGCTCTCCGAGCCTTCCCCGACGGCTACAGTCGGGGCCTTGACCTAAGGAAGCCTAAATAAGGAACGAGGCCCCTTTTTGAAACAAGTGAACCTTCGATTTCTCATGGAAAACCCAAGGACAACCCAAGGCAAACTGTAAAACAATCAAGGAGCACGGGGCTCCTCCCCAACAAAAAGGGCTCCTTCGTCGGCGCCCCGAGGGCCACCTGCTCCTCGGCAGGCGGCGCGGAGGGCCTCTCGGAAGCCCCCGCCGCCTTCTGCGAGGGCCTTAACCCCTCGCGCCTCCCCCCTCCTTCTTCTCCTCCTCGTCCTCCTCTTCCCCCTCCTCCTCCTCCTCCTCCTCCTCCTCCTCCTCCTCCTCCTCCTCCTCCTCCTCCTCCTCCTCCTCCTCCTCCTCCTGTTCGTCCTCGTCCTCGCCCTCGCCCTCGCCCGCCGCCGATCCTCGTGAGTGTCCAGGAACGCATTGAACTGGTCCTGCTCGGGAGCGGCACAGAGGGGGGCGTCCAGGAGGGGAAGGGGTGCAAATCCTGGCCGGCGGCACGTGCGCGGCCCAGGGGGGGGGGGGGGCCAGGGACGCGATGAAGTAAGCAGAGGCGCCATGAGATCTGGGGAAATAACTGTCATGGGCCACGCCATGATATCCACCCCCCCGCTGTAGTCATCACCCCCCTCCTTGCCGCCCCCGAGGTCCTGCGAGGCAGCCACCGCTGCGTTCCCCCCGCCGGGCTGCGCGGGGTCCGGCGCGGCGCTCGGGAGCAGCCGCCGCCGCTCGCGGAGCGCCTCCGAGCCCGGCGCAGCGAGCACGCCCCTCCCGCCCGGCCTGCCAGCCTGCAGGTGCAGGCCGGCCACCTGTCGTGCCGGGCCAAAAGGGGGGGATATAGCAAAGGGGGGGGTGAGAATCGGCTCGCGTGGCTGATGTTCCCGGCGCCTCCCGGCGCCGGAGGCGGCCAGTGTTATCGAGGATTGGGCCCCTCGGCGGGGCCGAAACCAGCTGCACGCAGCAAATTTCGTAACCCCCCCTTTCCCTATCGCCCCCTTTCGTCCGGCCCGAACCTGGGAGAAGAGCACATCAATAATAATAGTAGTGTACGTGAGCTGGGGGAGTGTCATGTGGACGAGCGCGTGCCACGACTCGCAGAGCAACTGCTCGCGAGTGGCCCGGATACGCCCAGGGGGATCTACAGTCGGACTTCAGTGGACAGGACACGCGAGAGGACAAAAGACCCTTCGGAGGGCCACATTGCCATAGGAATGCAGGAGGCATGGGTCGCGAGACACAGGACACAAAAATACCGTTGATTTGGCAGGGTCGACCTACCAATCCGGGCCAACTGCACGATGACTTACATCCAGAGCCGACACGTGTTTCTCGGACGCTTGTACGGGGCGCGAAAACGACCACAGCCACTGCTGTTCTTTTGCTGCCGCCTTCCAGCCCGCAGAAACAGAGCAGTGGTTGTGGTCATATTTTCGTTGAGCTCGGCACCAGGGAAATGACCACAACCACTGCTTCTTTTTTTAGGGGGAAAACAAGCCTACCTCGCTTTTGACCACCCTCGCTTCCAAGAGATACCAAACGATGCCAAATTGCAGCCTGTACTGGTCAGGCCGCTTGACGAGGAGGCGCGTGGTATGGCTTGGTTTTGCCTGGAAGCGAAAGCGGGGTAGGTAATTCACGCTCTGATTTTTGGCCGGCTGGAAGGCGGCGCAAACAAGGAGCAGTGGCTGTGGTCATTTCCCCGCCCCGCAGGCTTGCGAGTGCTGGAGCGCGCTCGGTGATCGTCGAAGGCTCGGCACGCCGCACCTCGACGAGGTGTTCTGCCGGGCCGGGCGCATGTCGCTCGACCCAGAAGGGCAAGGCTACGGATGCTCCTTCTCGTCCTGGGAGCCGTTTTCCTCCTCCTCCTGCTCTCCTCCTCCTCCTCCTGGATTCCCCCTATGCTCCTCCCCTTTTTCCTCCTCCTCCTCCTCCTCCTCCTCCTCCTCCTCCTCCTCCTCCTCCTAGATCCCCCATATGCTCCTGCCCCAGCTGTGACTCCTCCTGCCGCTCTTCCCCCTGAGTCGGGCCACCTCGTCGCGGTAGCGGTGTCTGAAGCGGGGCAACCCTCCGTCCGCACCCGCAGCATCACTCTGGGGACCGCAACCCGATGCTTATTTTGTCTCCTATTCATACATACTCTGGGAGAGAGATGATGGTGGTGGTGGTGGTGGTGGTGGTGGTGGTGGTGATGATGCTGATGATGATGATGATGATGCTGATGATGATGATGATGATAATGATGATGATGATGATGATGATGATGATGATGATGATGATGATGATGATGATGACGATGCTGATGATGACCATCCTCATCATGATCACCAACAGCATCATCATCAGCATCATCATCCTCAAAATCATAATATTCCTCTTCACGATTCATCATCATCGTCATCATCATCATGTTCATCATCTTCTTCATCATCATCGTTATCATGTTCATCATCATCACCTCTATCAGTATCACCATCATCGTCATCATGTTCATGTTATCATCATCATCATCATCATCGTTATCATGTTCATCATCATCGTCAGCGGCAGCGTTACCATCACCACCTCTATCAGTATCACCATCACCATCACCATCATCTTCATCACCATCATTACCATCATCATAATCAGGATCATCAGCATCATCAGCATCATCATCACCATCATCGCGAGCATAATCAGCAGCATCAGCATCATCGTCATCAACATCATCGTCTTCACCAGCTTCATAATCATTATCCGCAGCAACAGCATCACCATCACCATCATCATCCCCATCATCATCACCATAGCCATCATCATCACCACCATCACCATCATCACCATCATCAGCATCAGCAGCAGCATCACTACCATCATCAGCAGCCACATCATCAACCGTATCATCAACATCACCATCATCAGCATCATCAGCATCAGCATCGGCATTAGCATCAATCATCATCATCATCATCATCATCATCATCATCATCATAATCATCATATGCATCAGTATCAGCAGCAACAGCATCACCAGCACAATCACCATCATCATCACTATTGCCATCACCATTTCCATCACCATCACCACCGTCAACACCATCACCACCACCATCATCATCATCACCATCAACAATGAAACGCATTCTCCGGGGCGCGACACAAATTGTCCCGCGGCCGTCCCGCAAATTGTCCCGCTGTTGCCCCGCGGTTGTCCCGCTGTTGTCATGTGGTTGTCCCATAATCGTGCCAAAATTGTCCCGGGATTGTCCTGTGGTCGTCCTGTGGTTGTTGTGTGGTTGTCCCTTGGTTGTCTCGTGGCTGTGCCGTGGCTTTCCGAGGTTGTCCCATGATGGTCCCGTGGTAAAGCCGTGGTTGTCCCGTGGTTGTCCAATGGTTGTGCCATGATTGTCCCGCGATTGTTTCGCTGTTATTCCATGGTGGTCCCGTGGTTGTCCCGTGAATGGTCTGCGGATGTCCCGTCGATGGGTAAATAAAACATGATAACCGTCAAATCGATAGAGATCTTGATCGCGATACGGAAACCAATCGATTCAGTCAACCCGTATAGTAAGGCTGCGCGATAAGGGTGCAAGGGCCTTGGACGCCCATTCTGAAGCTATTCGAGCGGGGCGCGACCAGCGAAAGTGGCGAAGGATGGACCGAGGAGGCAAGGATGCAAGGGCAACCTTGGAAAGGTTGCCTATCCTTACTGTGCGGGTTGACTGTAATGAGGCCGCAACATACGTGTGTAAAGACGTCAAAGAATCCGCCACCGTGCCTCTGGGCACGGAGTGGGCGTGTCCTCATGTCCTTTGCCTAATCCTCTAAGCCTGAATATTCCCTCCTGAGGAGTCCCTTAGGGACCCAGAGCCCACATTGCCACATGAGTCACCGAAAGATCTTTTCAAGACGCCCAAGATGGCGTCAAGATGGACCATGAAGCCTCCAAGACGCCCCAAGGTCTCCAAGAAGTCTCCAAGAGGCCCCCAAAGAGGGCCCCAAGAGGCAAACACCAGTGATTTTCCGCAGGCTTTGAAGGTGTTTGGCGTTCTCGCCTTTTTCTGCTTTCCGACGCTCCAAGACGGCCCAAGAGGTCCCCAAGACCACCCCAAAATAGCCCAAGAGGCCTCCAAGAGGGCCCCAAGACCGCCCAAGAGCGCCCCAAGTCGGCCCAAGACGCACCAAAGACGGCCAAAGAGGGCTCCAAGGCGGCCCCAAAAGGGGCACACGAGACGGAACACGACCCAAACACCGGGCAGCTCGCCCCCTGGCCCCGCGCCAGCCCCACGCCAGGGGGCGAGCATGTATACGGGCGCAGCACCGCACTGCATGCGCAGCCTTCGGCTGGGCCAGGCAGGGCAAGACCCAACACTGCAGCCTCACACCCCTCGCTTGAAACTGCCAGCGAAACCTCCTCACCGCCCATGGCCTCCAACTGCCAGCGAGATCTCCGCAGCCCCCTGGCCTGAAACTGCCAGCGAAATATCTTCAACTCCCTGGCGTGCGAAGTACCCTCACACCTCTCGCTCAAAACTGCCAGCGAAGCAACATTGCCAGCGATCCTCACACCCCTCAGCGAAATATCCTCACCCCCTGGCCTAAAACTGGCAGCGAGACATCCTGCCATCTTTGGCTTGAAACTGCAAGCGAAATATCTTCACACCCCTCGCTTGAGACTGCCAGCGAAATATCCTCCACCCCAATGACTGAAAACTGCCAGCGAAATATTCTCGCACCCTTCGCTTAAACCTGCCAGCGAAATATCCTCACCCCCTGGCTTAAAACTGCCAGCGAAATATCCTCGGCCCCCTGACTTAAAACTGCCAGCGAAATATCCTCACACCTCTCGCTCTCACACTCCTCGCTGAAAACTGCCAGCGAAATAACATCCATCTCCTGACTTAAAACTGCCAGCGAAATACCCTCACCCCCTGCATAACACTGCCAGCAAAACATCCTCACCCCCTGGCCTAAAACTGCAGCCAACATATCCTCAACCCCCTGAATTAAAACTGCCAAAGACATATCCCCACCCCCCTCGCTTGAAACTGCAAGCGAAATATCATCACCGCCCCTGGCCGAAAACTGCCAGCAAAACATCCTCACCCCCTGGCCAAAGACTGCCAGCGAAATATCCTCACCGCCCTGGCTTAACACTGCCAGCGAAATATCCTCACACCCCTCGCTTAAAACTGCCAGCGAAATATCCTCACCCCCTGGTCTAAAACTGCCAGCGAAATATCCTCAACCACCTGCCTTGACACTGCCAGCGAACTATCCTCACCCCCCAGCCTGAAAACTGCCAGTGAAATATCCTCACCGCCCCTGGCCTAAAACTGCCAGCTAAACATCCTCACCCCCTGGCTTAAAACTGCCACCGAAATATCCCCAGCCCCTGGGAATAAAACTGCCATCGAACCGCTTTGGTGATTCAGTTGTCAATTCAGTCAGTCAATCTACTTCCCGAAAATCAATTTACGGGCTGCGCCCGAACAAAAATCCTAGCCTTCCGCCCCAAGATGCCCGGAGGGCCCCAAGAGGCGCCCAAGAGGCCCCAACAGGCCTCCAAGAGGCCCCAAGAGGACCAAAGAGGCCCCCAAAAGGTCCAAAAGAGGCCCAAAAGAGGCCCCAGAACAGCCCCCAACAGGATTCAAAACTACCTCCAAGAGGTCCCCTGGAAACCTCACACGTGACCCCAACGAACATCCAATAGGCTTCATACCAGAACCCAAGCACGGTGGCGGGATGGGCTGAAGGCCATTAGATATTATATGAGAACGGTACGCGGTGAGGTCGGCCGATCTACCATGGTGATCCGTGACATCGGTAGATTGATAGCAAAAACAAGGGACACATAATTAGATCGGTGTTCCGCGGCTGTCCCGTGGCTGTCCTGTGAATGTGGCGTGGTTGCCGCGCGGTTCTTCCCTGGTTGTCCCATGGTTGTTCCTTGGTGGTTAGGTGGGTGTCCCATGGTTTTCCTGCGACTGTCCCGTGGTTTTCCGTGGTCGCCCGGTGGTTGTCCCATGGTTGTCTCGTGGCTGTGCCATGGTTGTCCCGTGGCTGTCCCATGGTTGTCCCGTGCCGTGGCTGCCCCGGAAATACCCCGAGTTGCCTCGTCGTTGTCTCGTGTGCCAGTGGAAAGATATTAGGACCGATCGATCATTCGCGCGATCGCTATATGAATAAGGACGATCATGAGACCGACATAACATGTGAGAGTGGCATTCATCGGACATCGGGAAAATCGTGGGACGGACCGTACATTGATAGCGACATCGGTCACCAAATGGTGCAACGATGGGGAATCACATCGCTGCCCCGAGGCTGCTCCGCGGATGCCCCGTGGCGTGCCCCGAGGCTGTCCCGCGGCTGGCCCGCGGTCGCCTCACGGCTGTTTTTTCATATGTCGGCCGTTGCCCCTCGCTTGCCCCGTGGTTGCCCCACGCCTCTCCCGCGACCCTCCCGCGGTGGTACCGTGGTTGTCCTCGAATGATCCGGCTGAGGTCCCGCGGCCGTCGCGCGGCGACGCCGTGATTATCCGGCCGATGGCCCGCGAGGTCGAGGGGTTGAGAAATAATAAAGTCGAGAGAAAGAGAGAGAGAGAGAGAGAGAAAGAAAAAAAACAACGAAAGAGAGCAAGAGAGGGGCAACAACAAAAAAACGCATAGACGGCTCCAGCCCGAGCCGTTCTGGAAGTCGGAAGAGGGTCGACGAGGCCGGGCGTCGCCTTTGCGGAGGGCGGCATCACTCGGCGGCCGGCGGCTTGAAAGCGAGGGCGACCCGTCCGGATACAACCAAAAAGCCACCGGGTCGAACCCCAGGAAGATATGA